CTTACTCTTTTTAGAGCTGTTTTAAGCAGAAAGGGGGGCTTTCATAAGCCTAAAATGACCTCCAACATTTCCTTTCCAATGCTTATCTTTTGCAAGAGTGTTTGATTCTGCTCAATGCCCCTTTGGTGCTTTCTTCAGGACTAGCTTTATTTCAAAGGGCATCTTCTCCTTTGAAGCTATGTGCGCCCAGCCAATCTGAGATCATGATGCAACATAGCCAATAGGATTTGGCTTTGTCACAATGTCATAAAGTCAATTGCGAATGAGAGTAATGCTCCTGTCCTCACTCCGAATTGTTGAATGCCTTGTTTCAACTCACAGACTGATGGAGGGAAGGGTGTTCATACAATGTTTGCCTGCATCTGTTCAGTTGGGGCTGCCATTCCAGTCTGATCGTCATGTTGCTCTGTCACATAAAACAGGACACCTTAAACTCCAGCAATAACAGACTATAAATATGTCAGCTTTTAACATGCCAGAGTCTTCATTATTAGGAGTTTTAATTCTGTGCAGCTCTGAGTGGCTTATATTAACATCCTTAATATATATTTTAAAAATCAACAGCGAAATATGTAGTGAAATAAAAACGTAACACTATGAATCAATAAAACTTTAAATCAATAAAGCCAGGAAAAACATCTGTAACAATGACTACTTACAACTACGCGCCTCTGAAGGCCTGCATAAAAAGGATGTTTTGCAGCGTTCTGTGAGTATTCTTAGGTTTGGGCTTAAATGGACTTCTTTTGGTGGAGAATTAAATTACAATGCTTGAGGGCAACCATCACATGTTCAAAGAACACATCTTTTACCAGGGGGTTGTACCAAAGCCACTGTGTTTTCTTCCTTTCCTTTCCTTTCCTTTCTCATTCATTCATCTATCCTTGCCCTTTTTTAAAAAAAGAGTAGGAGAATAAATGAGGGGATTAAAGCCAAAGAGGGAGAGAAGGTGAGAGAGATGGGAGAAATATGGACATATGTAGTGGAAAATGCAAAGGGCAACCACAAACAATTGAGGTCAACAGTGGTTTGTGTCTTCAAAAAGGCTGATTATTGTTCTAAAGCATCTTTCCATCCCAACAGTCACATTGGAAATAACCTTGTTTCCCCCTTCTTTCTATGTAGCTTTTGCAACCTTTCAGCTCTCAAATGGAGGGCTTGCATCTCGGCATTATAAGAGGCTAGGTCAGAAAATTAGATTCTTTCATCACCTTGACACTTAGAACTCAGTTTTGCCTGGTCCAAAAACTGATTCTCACCAGATGCTAGAAAAGGCAGACAATCCGATACAGCTGATCTTTGATGCAGACTCCCAAGAGAGGTAGTGAATCCCTTTGATTTCCTCCCACCCACCCACCCTCCACAATCCTGTGGCTTCGCCTCTGGCCCTCAGTCCCATCTGTTCGTTCCACAGTGAAATCTCAAATTTCAGGTTAATGTCACCAGAGATCAAAAGCTATGTGGGCCAGGAGGGTTGGGACGGGGGCTAGGGATGAGGTAATGACTTCCAACTCTAGGGAAAGAAGTCCCTTGAGACTCAGAGGAGCAGCAGGAGGTAGCCAGGCTTTTTAGCTTTCTAGGAGAACTTTCCAGGTGGAAGCCATACAGCAAGTCATTCTCCTGTGAGGAGAAAGACTTAAAGGCAGAGCATGAGGGGGCAGCAAACCCCCAGAAAGACTGTACTCTTCTTTTCAGGAGCAATCTGTTCCCCAGCTTGTCCTAGAGATGATTTCTCACCCGTCCACTGCAAAACCAGCACCCCAGCCTTGGGTCAAGGGTAGGCATGGCTGCGCACTTGTTGAGGGTTCACATGCCAGTAGGAACCCATGGACAAGAGCCCCCTGGCCTTGCTTCTACTCTTCTCCATGGCAACTTGCTTGCTTCCCTCCCTCCCTCCCTCCCGCCAAGCAAAATGGAGGCTGAGCACCCCTTTGCTTCCTGAAGTGGAACCGTTCCAAGAGGGCTGTGCCTCAAGGTTCTTGGATGGTACAGGCTCATTCAGAATCAACAGGTAGAAACCAGAGCTGGATGTCTTCAGAGAAGGCACTGAGTGTGTAGCACAGTACAGGGCCAGCATCAATGAGGACCCTCAGCAAGTCCAAACTTTGGCTGAGGCCATTGCACATGACCCCTGGAGCTGTCATTTCTCCTTTTCCCTGCAGCAAGTTGCTGGCTCACCTGCCTCCTGCTGTGGCCCAGAGAGCAGCGGGGGTGAGGAGCAGTGGCAGGAGATCTCCTGGCCTCCCTCCTCACTGGCTCTCAGCCTGCCAAGCCAGCAAGTTGCGGCAACAATGAGGACGATGAGGGTGAGGTGCGAGAGCAACCTTTGACAAAGGCTGTGAGGAGGAAAGCTCCTTGAAGGGCCCATGAAGTGTGTCTGTCCCAAGGGCCCACCGAAACCTGGAACAAGAGGAGAAGCTTTGCTGCAAACAAGTTCACAAGGCAAGAGAGGGGCGGAGATTCTGCACCTTTTGCTGCTTTCGGGACAAGATCTGTAAGCACGTACCCCAGACACACAACACATGATTTCATAGGCTTGGCTGATACTCAGCTAAGGGGTGGCCAGGAGTGCTTGACATCTTGGAAGAGGTGAAACCAGCTAGTCTTACTATCAATTGTGAACCATGGGATCCGAAAACAAAAATAATGTTATTATTTACTCTATGATACAACAGTACTGTAAGCCACTTTGAAGACCCCCTGAGAAAGAAGTAGAGTAACAGAGAAAAATGTATAATTGATACAGCCGAATTAGCTTTTTCTGGTACACACATTCACACACACGAGGGCACAATTAGCCAAACAGAGAAGACGACATCTCAAGCAGATTTCTTCCTGAGCCCAGAGAACCAAGGCTGGGAAAGCCAGTGGGAATCAGAGAGGGTCCACACCAGAAAGTTTTCACAATCCTCCACAAGCTTTTTTGTGGGAAAGAGGATCTATTTACACTGCAATCATCTGGATGGAAAATAATGGCCCCCATTCTAAAATGCCCTCTTTTGTTAGCGCAACAAGGCGAGGCATTAGCAAGGACAGGCCAGTGAAACAGCAGTTGTGTGCCATTGCAAAAAAGCTACCGTGTTAACCCAACAGCCCAGTTACTATAGCCAGCGGTAAAGACTGTGAAAGCTGTAGTCCAAAACATCTGGAGGACCACATGTTGCCCACCCCTAAATTATACCTCCCATGCAGGGAGGGAGAAAAAACTGTCCACTCTTCACTGGGGCTTTGTCTATAATTATCCAGGTGGGGTTTCCCCTCCAACACCATGAGGACTATAAACTCGCTTTCAGTATTAAATAACAGCCCTCCTTCTGAGTGCTCAACATTAAACACTTTGAAATTTAAAAGCTGCATTCTGTGCTCCGTGGTAATCAATTGCAGCAAGGTGGATTTGGCGAGGCTCCCTGGAGGGTCTTTTCCTGCTAAACGCGACCTTCCCGACGAGCACGAAGGCGCCTGGTGATTTGGTCTCCCCAGGCCTCCAGAAGTGGAGCAAGCCGATAAGTGGCTGCAGCAGCAGCAGCTGCTCTTGGAGCTGTGGATTGAGTTACAAGGGAGCACAGATTGCTTTTGTCCACTCTGCTCTCTACCATCCATCACCGGCTCTGACAGTGCTTAGTACTGCAGGAACGCCGGCACGGCAGCTCCCAGCGCCGGGTTATCGGCAACGTTGCATCTCAAGGCACAGGATGAAAGCGGAGGATGTTTATGCCCCTAAATTGAAAGGGGGCACAGGATGTCTGTCTGATGCATGTCTCATGGCCAAGACTTCAAAGGCTCAGGGGAGGCCAAAGGGTATCCCCAACACCTCCGATACCACCAACACACACTCTGGCAAAGGAGCAGGTTACAAATCTTCCTAGCCACAATCCTTTAATGCATTTTGCATTAGCGCAGGGAGGGAAGCGGAAGGAAGCGTCCAGCTTCTTCTAAAGGGAAAATAGGTGCACTGAATGCCATACTTCATCGATTAGAAAGGAATGTTGGATAGGTGTGACAGCCATCCGAGATGCAGGTAGGGCACCCAGAAGCTTACCAGGTGGGTCCCTTTTTCCTTCCTGCTATGGCAGAGGCGCAGCATCTTTCACCTAGAAGCTAAATCTGGCCCTCCTGGGCTCCCCAGAAGGTCCCACCCTCATTCCCCAGCCATCAATCATTGGCCAGTATTCAGTTTTCATCCATGTTTCCCCAATTCTAAAAGGTTGAAGTGAGTCTCCCAAAACCTAGTTACAGAGAGTGGGAGCCTTAAGCTGCAATAGGTTGGCATTTTGACCCCTGACTTGTTGGCATCACCGGAGTATGGCCTCTGAGAACTTCTCCAAAATGAAATTCAGCCCTTGAGAGAAGAGCCATTTAACACTCCCATGTATAAAGATAACCTTGTTTTTATGCAAGTGCTGGGACCTAGGGCAGAATACCCCTGAGCATGTGCAGAGCTCCTTTTGTCCCGAGACATGGCTGTCTTTGTGGAGGGGATGTTTATTCACCTCTCAGAAAACTGTCCAGTCATGCTTCAGAAACAGAACACATGTGCCATGCCTTCATCCTACCTGGCAGGGCTGGCTGTGTCTGCCAAGAGGGCCTCAGCAGACTGCCATTAAACCTGAGCACAACACTGTGAAGGTGGCCACTCAGATGCATGTGTCAGTTCACTCCGTTCCCCTAAGAGTCAAGGGGAGCTGCCCCCAAAGGCTGGGGAGGGGCAGGTGTGTAACTCTTATCCTCAGGCCTCAAATCTTCCCGGTCTTCAAATGATATCAATTGTAAAGCCAGGTATTGGAAGAGAAGTCTGCCCCAGTGACCAAAAATGTTACTACAGGCTTCAACCACATGGCCACATTTAAACCAATTCCAATTAATTAATGTGTTTTAAACCAAAGTAACTCTAATGCACACGCCTCTAGGGTTCTTTGAGTATGCATGCTACATTTCAGGTGTCTAGATTTCACACTCTTGGAGCTATAATGTTACCAGAAAAATGGGCAGACAGACATCTATTGCTATTACATGTCGATTTTATTATTTATTTTCTTTATTTCATTTACATTCCAGCATGGAACTCTGGGTGGCTACATGCAGTTCCCAGCTGGTGTCCTCTCCATACCCAGATCTGTTTAGCTTCAGCAAAGCAGCCAGCTCATATACCTTCAGTCTTCAACCTAGGTCATAAGGGCTGAACATTCAGCTCCTTCCCTGGTAAGGATGCCAGCCTTGTCCAGGACCCAACTGACCCCTCAGCTTCACCCAACCTGGCGCCCTCCAACTCCTCATGTCCCTGGACAACGGCCATGCCGCCTGGGGCTAAGGGAATTGCAGTTCATAGCTTCTGGAGAAGACCAGACCATGGAAAGCTTGTTTCTCTCTCCTTTTTCTCACCAAGCATTTATCCTACATAGAGAATAACACAGATCAGAAGATGCTTCAAAAAGACAGTAACATTTGAATAAAATGTGTGTGCTATCAACTCATTGATAAATTTGTTAATTTATCAAGCTTTTAATCTCAAGCTTTTCTTGAGAGTAAGACAACACAGAATTTAATTAGCCTGTTACTCAGTGTTCCACAGAAATTCTTCTTTAATATTTTCCATTCCCATCATTGTGAACATACAAAATGCAGAATATTCCTGAATACACCAGTATTTTCTCTTACAAGAACGCAGCCGAAGTAAAATGGATTTTTTAAAAAATGAACAAATCCAGTCAGTCCCGTAGAAGACCAACAGACTGATTTCTGTTAAAGTGGGGTCCCCTGTGATTCATTTTCCTAGAAGGAAAGCCACACTTGGTTTCAGCCTTGTACAAAATATGTGCTACCTTCAAGTACAAACTGGAAAAACTGGAAGACCTTTCAAACTGGGATATGTTTGTGTATGCGTGTTTCTCTAATTGAAGCTAATGCAGAGGTAGGAAGGAGCCAAAATGACTAAGCCAAAATTAATACTTATAGTAGCTTCAGTTGAAGTCACCACAACTGAACAGTAGCTACAGCTCTGAATAGCTGAATCTGCCTTATTGTGCGTCAGATCAATCAATCCGTGCTCCATTTATCCAGTGCTGACTATTCCAACAGTCAGTGGCCCTCCAAGTCTTAAGCCAAGCAAAAGATGCTTCCCTTCCCTGTTAGGCAAAGGTCAAGCTCAATATGATGGCAACAGGCCCTTTTTTTTTTTTTTTTAAAGCAGAGATTAGCAGCCTGGTGGTATCCAGATGTTTCGGACTTCAACTCCCATAAGCTTTGACCAGCATGTGCCAAAGATGAAGGCGTATGGGACTTATATTCCAGAACATATGGCAGATACTAGGTTGCCCACACCTAGCTTAAACCCAGGTCTGCCCCTATGACTCACAGTGGGGGGGGCAGTGACTCACACAGGCTGAGGGGTAGGGAGAGTCTGCCAATTACAGCAAAAGATATGCAGGGGTGAAGGAAACTTCCCTGCAGTCTAGGGCTGAGGAACCTATTTCAGACTGAGGGCCAAAATCCATTTCAGAGAAGCTCTTGAGGAGACGTACATTCCAATGGTGGGGCCAAATGCAAATGGTGGGTAGGGCCAAAAGTACCAACAATGCCACCATATTAGAGCTGAAAGATATTGCTGCCCCTGAAAAGAGTCCAAAGACCTGCTGACAATCCGAGTAGAGGCACCAAAGCTCTGGCGATATAAGGCAGCTTCACACAGCCCCAGTAGGGAAAGGGTTTGGCAACAGCTCGGGCACTATTGTTCCCATATGGATACTGACTGTGGAGTTAACTGCAGAGAGTTTGACAGGACCCAAAAGCGCCCAATGGAGCACAGCTAAAAGTGGTTGTATCACCCCAAATGAGGTTTAGCACCAAAATGCAACATGTGTGGAGGGACAGACGTGAGGCCCAAATCGCAGAGAGGTCCAACACAGAAGAATCTGAAAAAGTGGATCGTGAATATATCTCAAGAGTACAAAAAGGCATAGTGTTAAGGGGCAAAGAAAAGGCGTGGTAGTGTAAACTCTAGAAAAGGCTTGTAGGTTCATAAACTGAATCAGTAGCTTCTCATGTCCAAAGTTAATGGCCTAGACAGAAGCCAAGACACCCAAGAATAGGCTGAGATCTCAAGCAAGCGGCGTAGTCTCTCTGCATCTTGGTTCCATCAGAAGATCAGGCTGTGATCAGATTCATGACGCCAAGTTCCTCCAGTTTGACTCTGATGATCTTGTCCCAGCCCTTGTTAGCCTGGGGATTGCGAGGCGATGGATGCATCACACACTCCACCCGCACTGAGATCCCAGCAGCTGACAGGGCCTTGCGGGCTCGCTGTTCAGCAAAGCGCCCCACGCCGATGATCATGGAGACCCCCAGCAGCTTTACAGCTTCACACAGCGCGTCATCGCAGACCTGCAGGAGCTGTTCGCGCTGGGCTGCCGGCAGGTCGGCCGGGGTCAGGTTGCGTCCGCTTTGGCTGACAAAGAGCAGTGGGCAGTGGTTGTGGACGAAGCAGTGGCGGAAGAATGCATCGGGCCCGGCACACACGGAGCGGAAGAAGCCCCAGAAGCGAGCGCCACTCACTTCTGTGTGGGGACACTCCAGACCCCGAACAGGTCTCTTTGGGTGCTCACATGCTGGCTGGTACACCTGTCCACGTACCTGGAGCCAGTCTCGGACAAGCTGCACTGCTCCAAAGGGCACCTGCAGGGGAGCAAAACTGTCGCATGGGAATCTCAGTTTGCTTGGGGAAAGTGTGTGTGGGGAGGGGGGCTGAATTTGCTATGAGATCCCTATAGTAAATCTAACCCCAGTGGTGTCAGCAGGGAACCTCTGGCTAACTGGGCTCGTGGAAAGGTAAGATACATATGCAGAAAATCACAAAGGAAACAACATTCTTCAACAGGGGGAAAAATCCAGAAACAACGAATGGGCAAATGAATTAAAATGCCTGGCAATCCACAAGACACAGACAGAACAGATTTTACAGTGTCTGCACATTATCCTCTCCCTCTCCCCATTAAAGATTACCATTTTGCTAGCACCCTTATCAGCGTATCTTTCTCCACTAGAAATTTATTTTGGCCCCATACCAGGGATGTTGGGGACATCCGTTCTACATTCAAATGAGCTTAGTGGATTCCACAGCTGACCATTTTTTTCAAACTACACAGGTTCTACTGACATGCAGACCTTTTTATTTTTATTTTACTTGAATGAGGGAGAGGAGAGATTTGTGCAAATCTCCAAGCAAAGCAAAATTGTTCAAGGGTAGGGAAAAAAGCAGGATTCCACTGAAGAGTAAATCATGGAATATAGAATGCCTGACAATCCACAAAACACACATGGAATGGCCTTAACAAAGTCCATGCATCCCTAATTCATATCAAATTAGGTGTCATGGCTTCTCCCAAAGAAGTCCGGGACTCGAGGGAAAGGCTCTAGTTCAGTGGTATAGACTGTCCCAGGTTTGATCCCTGGCATCTCCAGGTGTTGATAGGAGCATTCCCTGATTGGACCCATGCAGAGCTGCTGCCAGTCAGTGTAGACAATACTAAACTGGGTGGATTTAGGAACGAGGGACAAATGTTTGCATGTTAAGGCTAACTAATTAGCAGTTCCCATACCAACATGCAATTTGAAATGCAGTTTGCCTTTGGTATATACAGTTCACCCAATTTTGGGATACAATTCTCCATGCATAAATGCATACAAAAATATGTGCACTGGGAGGAAGTACACATCACAAAAATTACATTTGTGAGCAGAATGCACAAAAAAGCATCATATTGGGGAAAACTGTTGCAGAAAGGTATCCATTTGGCAAAGTTTACAGAAAATGTGCCTATCAAGAAAAAATACCACAAAAGTGCACATATTTTCAAGGAAGTGTTTGACAAAAGTGCAAACTGGTGCAGATATGGAACAACAAATTGAAGTTTGGGAACATGCGAAACCAAAACAAGAAAGAAAGGCTTGACAAATTCATCCATCCCAGTTGAGTTAATGGTCTGGCCTGAAAACTGAGAATTTTCTTAAAGATCCCCCCTCAGAAAATTATAACTGTTAAAAATCCCACAGAGTAGGAATGAGCATTAACCAGTTTGTTCAAAGCATAGACAAACCACAACAAACAGAAGCTGCTGTCTTGCTGCAAGATGCAACCTCCTTACACCTGCATTAGTGCAGTTAAAGTGGAAGCGCGCTCTCTGGAGGGCTTTAGCAGCATCGTGTCTACATACACATACAGGGATAAGTGCTTCTGGCATCCAGAGGAAAATCAGTCAGTTTACACATATTCACCCCTGCGTATTTAAGTCAAGGCTTCACAATATCTCAGCAAACACGTTGCCACACTATCAGTTCCATACTCCTCTCCTTTCCTGGCATAACATCAAAGCAGAAACAGAGCTGACTGTCTAGGTGTTAACTCGGCTATGATGAGGGAAGACAGGGATTATTCCACCCACGCGGCACATGCCACATGCAGGAAACCAGAAAGATAATGGGAAGAGTTCCTCCAGTCCACAGATGCACACAGCATTGGGACGGTGCCGTTCACCCGCATGCAGGAATTAGGTGAACAGCTTTGCTCTTATCTGCTCTTTTTACTACCACCCACATGACTTTTCAAAGATAGGAAACCTGATCGGCACTGGAAACCACATCAGAAGCAAGCTAGACTGCAAATGCACATATCTATTAGAGTGCATTTTTTTCCTATTTCAGCTATATTTGGCCAGTGTTGCTTTGCAGATCTTTTCTTCTTCTTGTTTTTAAATAAAAACAGGAGGGGCTGTGCTACTCCTGATGGAGATGTAACTATCACACTTACCAAGATTTCCTAAATTTTTGACAGGGAAAGCACACTATTTTTCTACATTAAAACTGGAGGTATATACATCATTCTCACATGCACAGCCATTAACATAGGATGCTAGCCTATTCTGAGTAAGACCATAGGTCAGTCAGTCCAATTTTATTGACATTGACTGGCAGGGAGTCTCCAGGGTTTTAAGCAGGACCTCGGACCTTTTGCACATGAAGTAGGTATTCTGCTCCTGAGCTTTGGGGCCCTCCTACATTACCAGCACCAAAGTTGTATTAAAATTGCTACTAGCCAGCTGGGAACTGGTGAAAGAGAGTAAGAGAGCTCCATTCCTCCTGCAGCCTCCCACTGTACGTCTGTGCTCCAACACACCTGTACCAGCCAACTCACTCACCTGCACAGATTTCCTTCTCACCTGTGGCTAAAAAGCTAGCACATATTGGTGGTTCCAAGCCTTGGGCCTCTAGATGGTATCGGACTACAGCATCCATTATCCCCAGCCAGCATAGCCAATAGCAAGAGATGATGATGAGAACTGCTGTCCAACTAGGGATCCAAGGTTGGAAATAGATTTAAAGTGTAAGTACGTATTATTCTTTTGTTGCCAGGTGGAACAGGGTTTTTATGCCACTCCGTTTTACTGCATTTATGTTTAGGTTTTCTATCTTTGTCGTAGAAAATATTGGACTTGTGTGCTTGTCTCCCTGAAATTCCAGTGCAGTTCCAGCTCTGCTCAAGCTCCTAAAAAAGTCCTGGAGATTATTCTCACAAGAACACATTAGCAGTAGAGAGTACTGAAATAAATATAACTGAGCTGAAAAGCAAGAAGCCGATTATCCTGAATTGCAATCGTTTGCAAAGATTTACCCTCATATTCTCCTAACAATGCAATCTGAAGCATTCTTACATGGAAGAAAGTTCTCCTGAATTCAACAGAACTCTTTGTTGCTGTTAGGATTGCAATGTATGTCTTTTTCTCTTTTCCCTTTTTGCCTTCAAGATCCCAGTTTCTGTTGGATTCAGGTTGGCTTGTTTACCATTTTTTAATCCCCCAAATCAAAATGTGATACTAGAAAACATGCTACTTAAGTTTATTGCCTTAAAAATAATCATCAAAACATTTTTTAAAATTGAAGGTTTTTAAATATGACCTTCAAAATTGAAAAACAAATGACATAACTTTCCAAATGATCACTTGCCATTTAATTATTACTATTTTGCCAAATTGCACAGCAGCAATTTTGTGCTTCCAGAGGCAACAGGAAATGAGCAGAACTTTCTGGACAGCAACATGGCGGAGCCCTTTCAGGCAAGCTAAATCACCACTGCACAAGTAGTGGGAACAGCCCTGTTTCCAGACTTATCCTAGAAAGCTAAAGTTAATTAAAGTTCTCCCTTGCATAAGCAGCAAGTCTCGATTGTGAAACAGAATTGGCAGGACCCGCAGTTTGTGAAAGGGAACTGGCAGGCAAAAAGGAATTGACAGGAACATAACTACCTGCCCCCCTGGATTCTGCCCTTTGTCTGCCTATCTTGGCATTTGATTTATAACAAGAGATGTGTGGCCCCCAAATTTTTATTAACATTGGAACAGCTTGCCCATGCACCCTGAACTGATGGAAAACAACAACAACAACAACAACAACAACAATAATAATAATAATAATAAAAAACTACAAGGACCAAAGCCTGACTTTAGGCATGCTCTGGGACGCCTTCCCACTAAGCATGGTGGAAAGAGGCTTGCTTTAATTACAGCAAGGCAGTGCAACATGTTCAAAGAAAGGAGACAAAGATGGCAAGGGGCCAGGAGATAAGGAAAGGTTGGAGGAGCTGGGGATGTTTAACGTGGAGAAAAGTCTACTAGGTACTATGATTGCCATCTTCAAATGTTGAAAGGATGCCATGTAGATGATAAAACAAATGTGTTGCTTCACGGGCCATTGCAAGGGGTGCGAATTACCAGGAAAGGACAGTAGCAGGATGAATATTTTGACTGTGTGAGCTGCTCAGTGATGGAACAGACTGCCCCGAACATGGTGGACTCCCATTTACTAGAGGATTTTAAGCAGAGGATGGATGGCCCACATATCTCAGATGTTGTGGATTTCCTGCCCTGGCCAGGACTTGGATTAGGTGACCTGCAAAGTCCCTTCCAATTCTATGGTTCCAAGAGTCTATGAAAGGACACTTGGCACATGTTCAAAGACTTCCTTTACACTTGTGTCACATGCCCAGGGCCAAGTCCTAGCCTTAAGAAAAACTTGCAAGGTGACAGTCTAGTGCAAATAAAGTTCTGATCTTGCCAAGCCAAACTAACTTTTGCCCCTGCCCACCTGACTTTTCTGCTTACCCCAGTCTGACCCATTCCAAAAGGCCCTGGGTTCATGCCAAGGAAGAGCACCTCCTTGCGGGTCTGGCAGTATCTCCGCACATAATCCTGGTGGGGCTCCCAGGCATAATCCAGGGGGTTGTAAACATATTGCACTGACTCAGGGAAAGTGAGGTCCTTCAGGCGGATCACCTGTTCCCGCTCGATGTGGAGAAACCGTTCGGCCACACTGCCTGCTTCCAAGAGGCTCATGGAGGCCTCCACGGCATTCCCTGGAGCCCCTGCACCTGGCAAATGAGAAAAGCAGCTCAGTTCCTGTACCAAAATTGATTTATGGAATGTCCATACATATCCACTTATACACAGAGAGAGTGTGTGTCTCTAGAAAAGAAAATGGGTATTTTTAAAAAGGATTTCTTGAACCAGGTGGTGTGGAAGTCAGTGTCAATTTCAGTTTTTGGAGGGCCTTTGGACAAGATACCCTCTTGAGAGCCAGGGTGGTGTTGTGGCAAAGCTCACGGAATTGGGACTCAGGCCATCTGGCTTCTGGTCCCTCCCTGGCAATGAAGTCAACTGGGTGACTTTGAGTCAGTCACAAATTCTCGGCCCAATCTACCTCACGGGTTTGTTGTTGTGGGGATAAGAGTGAAGAAGAGAATTATGTAAGCCACTTTAAGCTCTTTGTAAGAAAAAAGATGGGCTATAAATTATATATATATATAAATAAATGCTACCCGCTCTGGGCCCCTTTGTGAGCTTGCCTTCTCACTTCCTTTGCCACCAGCACCTCTTGCCCTCCTCCTCTTTCTCATCACAGGGACCACTTGCTTGCTTGAGAGGCAGAGCACAGAGGAAGGGGGGCAGCGCATCTGCTCCTGCTCTTTCCCACTGCCTTCACTGTCAGATCCAAGACAAGAGGCAGGTGAACAAACAGGCTGCAACGGAAAGAGAAGAAGAGACTCCACAGAGCTGGTCAGTGGGCCTCTGGTGGCCTGCAGGCCCTGGGTAAGTACCCAGCCATGCCTACTGTCAATGCTGACCCTGGGAGAAGACCTTTCCCTAAGATCCTGGACAGCCCCTTCCAGTCACAAAAAATGATAATGGACTAGCAAGCAAGGCAGTCGGGCTTGCTGTAAGACAGCCTCCTATTTTCCTAACAGGTACCAGAAGAGGACTGTCCTGGTAAATAGGAACAATTGAAATGTATGCATATATTGATTGTAAAATAAACTCCATTCTTGCTCTTCTTACCTGACTGATTCATTTCCAGAGAAGCCGAAGGACATCACTAGGATGGCATGACAACAGTTTCCTTCAGAGCACCTCATGAGATAGGCTTTTCCTTATTATCTGGAGAAACACATTGAAATTGTTTCTGAACGCTCTTCTGGTACTGTCATTTTGCTATACCAGCAAATATTTCTCAGTTTGAAGAAAGAGAAAGTATTTCATAAGCCCTTGCCTCAGCAATGACTGGTAGTTTCGAGGGGGTGGGCTTTGGCTTTTTAATCATCAGTTCCCTCACACTTCAGATAAACCTTCACTTTTGTGCAGGAATTCCAAAACTGAGGTTTTGCCCGGATGCAATCAACACATCTCTGTTCAAACAACTGGAGGCCAGGAAGCTGGTCAGTGAGACCCTCTCAAATGGGTTAAGGGCTGCCCCCTTTTCAAGGAAGGCTTCCTGTGTTTTAACCTCTGCATCACTGGCAGAAATGACACAAGTGACACTGTCCCCTAAAAGCTTCACCTGTTGACTTTCTGCCAACCCTCAGAGCAGCAACCCTCTTTTTGCTTACAACCCTGCCCCAAGGGCCAGCACCTGAAGGATCAAACTCTGCCTGCCTGCTCTCTTTCCTGTGGCTTTCCACCCGCCGACGGTGCACCCCCCACCTGGATCTGCCACAGGTGAGGAGACCTATATGTCATGCCGCGGTCTTGGCAGCCCATTCCGTAACTGCCTCACTTCTTACACCATGAGTGGATGAGCGATTTCTATCATAGCTCTGCTTAAAGTGAACCAGGCGAGGCCTCCAAATATATTCCTCCACGGGGAATGTTCCTTTTATTGCCTTTTTTATTACCATAATTAGTAAAGCATTCACTCAAGATACAAAACATTACTGTAAATAACCTATAAATGCTCTGTGCTGTGATTAAAGAAAGACAACCACCTCCACACGTGTTCTCACTCACAATCTTGAAGGGCGGAAAAAATAAAGCAAAACTCAAGAGCCGCACTTCAGGGAGAGAATATTAACTCGCGGTGGGGTTATTGGCAGGTGGCGGTTATTCAGGGAGGCATCAATGCTACCTTGGCTTATCCTGTACATGCTCCCCCCAAATTTGCATCCAGAAGATTCGGCACACAGGTGAAAGGACACAAATCACTGGCAGCTATGCAGATGTCCTTAGTTCACAGAAAATTGCATTTGATATTACGCTCAGAACTAGACTTAGAACTTAGGCTGAAAGTGGCATCCCTGGTTTACAGCATCATATGCAAGAACCACCTTCTTGAACCGGGCCTAGAAGTCAGCATTGATGCTCCAAGCCCAACGCTGTAGTCTCCAAAGTGCACATCAGAAAACCAGAGGTCTGTGGCATGTTGCATGCACTGCAATTCCAAAACAGGCTGCAGCGGCAGGCCCCCATTGCAGGAATCTGAACAGAGAGTGATTGAGGCATGGCTCCCTGTGGCTAGACCTGCCTTCTCCAGGAAGGAGCACAACTTGTGCCAACAGCCAAAGCTAAGCCAAGGGACTCCCAGGCACCACAGTCACCTGCCGCCACCCCCCACCCCCGGTGCAAAGCCAGGTCCAGCAGCACCTCCAAGCTGCAGACTGAATCCTTCAGAGGGATTGATTGCAATCCTATCCATAACAGACTGTGCTCACAACCCAGGCCTGCCTTGCCTGGTCCTCCACCTTGTCTGAATCAAGCCTCAACTCATGGGCTCATGTCCAGTTTATCAGTGCGTCCAGACAACCATTCAGGACTTCCACAGCCATTTTTCCTTCAACTGAAAAAAGAGAACGAGCTGCATATCACTAGCATAGAAGAAGACCCAGTTCAGACACTCAGAGCTGCCCCAAACATTGCAGAAAAATGTACACATTTTAGAGACGCTAACAGTCAAAGGCAAAAGGGTGGGTCCAAAAACTAAAACTGTCAGTTTAGTTCAGACTAAAACTCTTACTATTTGTTACAGCCTTAGGAAAGGACTCTTTGTACACCCCTTTACAATTGAGGGTGCACAAAAGCAGGGAAACCAACAAGCAAAAGGAGGTTGAAGAAGAGTGCAAAGCATCCATTTCTCTGAGACCAGGAAATGCCACTCAGGCCTCAAAATGGCTCATCTCGTGAAAATGGAGGGCAGAAGGACAGAAGAGTGCAGACTAACTCAGCCATTCCTCCTGCCCTGCCTAGGATGGCCACAACCTGTATGAGTGTTGCAAGAAGACTGCATCCTACACTTACCATCTCTTCCTTTTGTGAGCCCAACAGCATTGCAGCCCATGGTTTGGGAAGCCCTGTCAGGTGAGGGCTATGACCAATGAGAGCTGCCACATTCTTTGCACCCACTTCTGCTAGTGTCACCACCCATTCTGTGGCTACTGAGGCCCATTCTCCTATTTTGCAAACATGGGCAAAAGAAAGAGCATGGCAGTTGACCATGCCATGCTGAGGCCTCATCTGTTCTTTCCTGCAGCAGCACGGGAGTCATTTCTCCATGGCTGGCCACAGGGGCAATGCCATTAGAAGGATGGGCAGCCAACCTGGCTTGTATTACAGAGACCTGGGTGGGTGAAGCAGGAGAGGTCACCCTCTTGTAACTGTGCCAGCTTGGGTACTCTGTGCAGCGCCAACATTGCCTTGAGGGTCGAAGACAAGGGTGGCTGTGGTCTACAGGAACACGATCTCCCTCTCCAGGCTTTCCTGCTCACTCAAAGGCAGGTCTTGAGTGTTTGCACCTTGTGTTCGGCACTTGAGACAGATGAAGGATTCTGCCTGTGTACCACCCAGCCCACTGCCCCTCAGGCTCCCTGCCTGAGCTGACGGAGGTGATCTCAGACCTGGTGGTGAGATCCCCCAGGATGAAGATTCTGGGGGATCTCAACCTCCATGCTGAAGCTGCTTTATCCAGGGTGGTCCCCAGACTTCATGGCTGCCATGACAACCATGCAGCTGTTGCAACATGTAAGTGGGCCAACACATGTAAAAGGACACACCCTCCATCTGGTTTTCTCAAATGGGCAAGAAGAAGGTGATCTGGAAGCGGGGAGACTAACATCAACGCCCTTGGCATGGTCAGATCACTTCCTTCTGAGGTTTAGGCTTCTAGCCTGTTTCTCCCTCTGCAAAGGTGGGGGACCTATTGGAACGGTCCACCCCCAGAGACTGATGGGCCCTGAGGATACCCAGAGGGCTCTGGGGGAATTTCCGGCCGATATGGCTGGTGCGCCTGTCGAAGCTCAGGTCACTCTGTGGAATGCAGGCGGGCGGTTGACACAACGGCACCCAAGCGCCCTCTTGCCTTGGGCAGAGCCCGGCCAGCTCCTTGGCACCCACCAGAGCTGAGAGCAATGAAGCAGGAAGGGAGGCGGCTGGAGGAAAACTCACGATGAATCTGACCGGACACAGCTTCAAGTCCATTATCAAGGCTATTATGTGGCAGTGAGCGTGGCAATGAGGCAGTTCTTTTCCACCAGCATCGTGTCCTCTTAATGCTGCCCAGCAGAGCGTTTCCTAGTGGTTCCTGGCCTCTTACAAACTGGGCCAGAGAGGGGAACTGTGGAGCCCTCAGTAGCTCACTGTGATGAATCTGCACAGCACTTTGAGGCTGAAGTCACTCAGATTGATCATGAATTGGACTCTACATTTAATACCATTCCATTAACAGAGGCATCCAGAGCACCTGAGGATGTAGACAAGGTGCTTGGTCAAGTCCAGCTACCACCCACATGCTCAGCCCTTGCCCATCACTAGAATTAAGGAAGACATGTGCACCTGGTCCAAGAGGTCCTTCTCAGAGAGCCCCTCCCCCCAAAGGAAACAAAGAAGATGGCTACTAGGAGAAGAGCCTTTTCAGTTGTGGCACCCCAACTGTGGAATCAGCTCCCCAAAGAGATGCACCAGGAGCCTACACTTTATTCCTTCTGGTGCCAAGTAAAAACCTTTTTATTTATCCAGCATTTTAATAGTTAACTTTTATCTCCATTGTTTATACTGCATTTTATTTTATTTTACTGCTGCTGTACCTCCAGACTAAGGGCCTACTGCTGCTATTTTATTAAATTAGTATTTATGTTTGATTTTACTATTGTTGGCATTGCTTTTGTGATTAATGTATAGTTTACCCTTGTGAACTGTCCAGAGAGCCTCTTTTTTGGCTAAGGGACGGTACAGATGTTAATTAATTAAATTATAGTCAGTTATGCGGGTAAGAGGCCAAATCATCTGCAGGGCATGATAGTCAGGCCAGCACTGGCCTTCCAACTCAGACCACTGCGCCAAGCTATCCTCGGCACTTACTCTGTTTTTCCCTCCATCTGGGAATTCACCCAAACACCACCTAGCAGGACCCCTCTGCTCTCTAGGCATTTACTCAGGGGTGAGAGAGCCAGCTACATCTCCAGCCTCCACTGCCCAGCTCTTAGCCTATCGTTCTTTCCCCTCCTCAGTGCTTAACATGGCATTTAATAAATGCAGCCCCAACAGTGTAGATTATATAGAGCGGGGGATAATCAACCCTTGATAGGGAAATAAGGGCATCAATGTACCCCAATAAACCAATAATGCGAATTCACCAAAGATAAAATACAGCAGGTTAAGGGAAGAAGTGAGCATGGAAAACAAAACCAGAAACCACACCCTTCACCAGAAATGCTGGTCAAACTGAACTCTATGCCTCATGCCTGTAGATCCAGTCTGGCCCTCTGTGACCATTTTCCCCAATTATTTAAGCCTTTCAGCACTCCTAAGGCTTAGTGACTGTCTTTAAACTAAAATATGCAGTGGGTTCCGAGGGCTGTACGTTGTGCGGTTTGGGCCCATCCTCTTTGCTCTTGTCTCCCCACAGGAATAAGCCTCCCTTGGCAGCTTTCCTAAAACTGAAGTCAGTCCTCAGTGCAAGTGGTTCCACAGCCCTGATTTACACGAGGTGATCTAGGAGAGCAGCTAAACCCACAGCAGGGTCCCTTCTTGGCTTCTAGCAGAGTGTATTGCATTGCTCGAGATGGACAGAAAGGGATCGGCAGGGAGACCCAAGAGAGGCAACTTCAGCGGGTTCTGTGTGAGGGGAGATGCGGTTTGGCTGAAGGTGACTTTGGAAGCCACGGCGGGCACCA